GCCTTGCGGGGAGGGAGCAGCTCTGTGTGCCCGAGGATCTCCTCCCAGAGCTCTCCCGAGGCTCGCAGCAGCGCTGCACCTGCCCCCACGTGCTGGGACAGACATTTCCTCTCAACAGATGCTGCAGGGGGAGTGAAGAGGAAGGTGAAGTGGTGCAGTCTCAGACTCTGCTCCCCACCAAAAGATGCAGCTCCCGAGGCTCCAGTTTGGCCGGTGGACCCACAGATGTGCAGGAGCGCTGTCTGCCGGGACACACGGCCCCGAAGGAGCCCTGCGGCGGTCCCTGCTCCCGGGGGGCACGCACAGATGGGCATCTCCAGCAGCCCGAATTCCAGCTCCTGGCTCTGCCAGCCCGGTGACGGCAGCACATTTGCACAAGGAGCCACTGGGTGAGTAATACCTGCCTCTGCAGACACAAATCCTGCAAACACTTTGTGGTAAAGCTGCTGCTGCTCTGGGAAGGGAGGATGCACTTTACTCCGAAAGCAGAGGATGAAAGACTCTGTGGCAACGGCTTCTCTTTGAAAGGGCTGAGCCCAATCCTCTGCAGAAGCAGCTGGTTGTTATCAAATCTCTGATCTCCGGAGCATTAATGCCCTGCCTGCACCGAAGGCAGCCAGCACACACTGCAGCCTCGCAGCCTTCTGCTGAGCATCTCAGCCTCACTTCAGCAGCGCCGTGCTAGCTGCAGTGAGGATGGAAGGGATTCGCCTGTCTCAGTCTCCTGTCAGGCAGGTCAGGAACAACCTGAAATGGCTGCGTTTGCTCAAATCCTGAGCTACAGGTGTGCCTGTCAGCACAGAACTGTCTAAAAATTAACCACATTTGCGCCTTCCATATCTGTCAGCAGATAAGAGCGTTACCTCAGAGACAGGCAGGGGATATTGCTGATAGACTGAACCCGGGTGCTGGGTAACTCCTGACTTTGACCTTGGCCACTTATATCACTGGAGTAAAATTCTGCATGCTTCTGTTTGCTTACATGGAGATAAGGATACTACCCTCTGGATTAAAAGTGTCATTAAAGAGGCACATTATGATTATAATTATTATTTTACAAGCTGAAAATAGTGCGCAGAAGCTGGCAGGGCTGCTGCTGAGGTGCTTCAAGGAGTGTGTGCCTTTGCAAAAGGCCGGAAGAAACTGCACAGGAGGATTTTCTCATACATAAGCTGAGGAAAAGGATTATCTGTGAAACAGCTAACAGTTTTTATTTACTGTGAAAATCTGAGTCTCACTCTCAATTTCCCATCAAGATAAAATGCAGGCATTTGGTTAAAATGGTAACTTAATGCTCCAGAGGTTTAATTACCACCACTCTATAATCAAAATCAACACAGAGTGCAAGCTGTAGCTCCCAACTCCAACAAGAAATGCAGCTTCCCACAAAGCAGTCAATAAAAAGAAGATATATAACATGTGCTTGGATTTTGTGGTCCTTCCCACAGCTGAACTTGCAAATCTGCTATTGCTAATGGTTTTCTTTCAAACCTCAGGTTCTCCCTTAGCTTTTATCAAGCTCCAGATCTCCTTATTTCTACATTTTAATTTTGTCTGTGTATAATACCTATACACAAGGTACTGAAATAAGGGAGTTTGCAGTGCTGGAAGCTAATTTTTTTTTTTTCTTGTACCAACATAAAGCACTGAACTAATCTCAATAGTAGTTATTACTGAAATTTTATAAGGGCCTTGGTTGGAAAAAGTGTCATGAAAGCAGGGTTGTCTTCTGGGCTGAGGCTGGTGTGATCCCTGGCATGGATGTACACAGATCAAATGATCCATCCTCCTCCATTGAAGTTCCTGGTGCTTTTCTTTAAGGACTTCAGGACTTCTGGATCACAGGACCAGCTTGGGTCTTGCTTAGGACAGATTTCCCCCTGCAAGTTGAGATTTTTTTTCTCCAGTGCCTTCTCCCAGTGCATTTTCTGAATGGGGCCGTAGTTCTGAGCCAAGTGATGATCCCTGTGAAAATTGCACAAGCTCTTTATTTTGTCTGTTCCCTTGCAAGTCAAGTTTCTTGTGAGCAAAGCTTTTACCTGTCCTGCAGCCACACTCCTGCCAGGCACCAGGGCAAAGGTGTCCAGCATGGGTACACTGTTAACAAAGCAATCCTCTGCCAGGGGCTGAGCCCTGAATTTACATCCTGGGATGCTCCCAGATGCTGCAGTAGCAAGGACAGAAGTTGCTCTCCAAAAAAACTTTGCTATGGTGTCTGCCTTTTAAGCAAGGGTTAATTTTCCTCCTCATCAGCCCCCCATAAAAAGCAGCACATTTTGTGAGCTGCTCCTACCGACTTGTGGAAATAAGAGATACCCTATTAGCAATCCCTGTCCAAACACTGTTGGACTGGTTAGTGCCAGCACTTTCCATCCAGCACTAGTATTTGTTTTTCCATGCTCTTAATCTTAGAAATTGAATTGAGTCTGATAAAAGTGACTTCCTGAATATTGCATAACAGTTTACGTCTGTCAGGGGGGAAGACAAACAGACCTGACCTTGAACTCGTAAAGTTTCCTCCCAGCAGGTAAAAGCTTCCAAAAGTCTGAGCAGGGGATCCTTGTCTCCTCACTGTCCTGGGACAGCAATGAGATTTCCCTGGCAGCCATTCTCTCCATTAAAAAAAGCTCTGTAAAATGCTTTGGATCCTCCTCTGGGACCTGAGAATCCCCTGGAAAGAGCTGCAGCAGGAAGGCAGCTTCATGTTCTTGCTCCAAAAAGGAGGCAGAGGAGAAATCCTGTCCGTATCTGGCAGGGTTTAGCCTCCAGGGATTAATTAAAGGCTTTTTCAGTTTTTCTTTCAAACCTCACAACATTCATCCCCGCCTCACTGAATAGGGAAAAAGGAGAGGCATTTTCTCTGGTGAAGCACCAGCCTGTTTCAATTTTCAGTTTTACATTGCAGTAATATGCTTTTCCTAAGGGAATACCACAGGAAGGGCAAACTTTGGCTTCTCACCATTGGAGCATTACGTCATTAAAACGAGCTGGAAATCTGAGCAGCGGGCAAAACAAATTCCCTAAACTTAATAATTCCCCCTTCCCTTGGTGCTTCTGTCCCTCTTCCCTGTCCACTGGCAAGGCAGGTGGAGGTGTTGGCAGAGCCAGCATGGGATGGGGACCAGGGCACGAGGAGTGGCTGATGGTGCTACAGGGGCAGGGAGGTGTCCTGCATCTTCTGAGCTGCTGGCACTGCTGGGGTTGGGACTAACGGAGCTCTGGGGCAGCAAAATCCTTTCTTCTTTAACTCAGACTTTGGTGATGGCTGCAACAGGGAGCCACCTGGCTCTCAGGACTCCCTGTGAAAGATCTGAAGAATTTTGCACAGCTTTCCCACTACCAGAAAAGTGCAGGGCTTGGTAGACTCTGGGTTTTTGGGCAGCATCCTGAGGAAGCACCACAGCTCCCAGCTCAGCCCACTCTGAGTGCGTGCATGGTGCCCTGCAGTTTTTGTTTTCTGACCCCATTACCTATTCTAGTTTGGCTTTCAGCTGCTTAGGCTTGATTATTTTAAACCTCTCTATCTGATTATCAGCAGCCCAGCCAGGCCAGCTAAGGGGATTCTGGGGGATCCCCGGCAGGGTTGCAGAAGGATAATTTGCCTCTCATTCATGCTTTTGAGTGCGTTGGTCAGCTGAGGGGACAGGGGGGAGAGTTACAGGGACATTCTTAGTGGGGAGAAGGCAGCTCCCCGTGCAGCCCCTGTGCCACAGCCTCACCAATCTCAAACCCTGCTGCAGGATGCAGTACCTTGCTGCCGTGGGCGCGGGGAAACGCGTCCTGGCAGGCACCCAGCACCCCCAGATCTCAGCGGTGGGCACCACGGCACACACCAGCCCACGCTGGCACGGCAGGATGCTTCTGGAAGCAGAGCAGCCCAGGGACACGCTGGCATGGCAGGGTGCAGCACATTGGTACCCAACCCAGGCATCCCTCGGCAACCTTTCCAGAGCTGCCTTGCTCTTGCTTTTCAGTTTTCTATTGTTGTCCTGGAGCTGTTTTCCTCCTCCTCCCCCAGCAGGATGAAGAAGCCTCCAGCTGGCCTAGGAGGCTTATCAGCTCTGTCTGGCTGGGTGTTAACAGTTTATTTGCATAAGTACCTGTCCCCGTCATATGCCGCTTGCCTTTGTGACTCACTGTAGCTGTTTATTTTTCCTCCAGCAGCCAGGCTTGCGGCTGCTGCTCCCTGAGGTATGCCAGGGCAGATGCCACCACCCCAGGGCACTGTGGGATGTCTGGCACGCTTGGGGCAGGAGCTCACCCTCGCTGGCTCACCCTATCCTGCCCTGCAGGACCAGCTTGGAAATTAAATGTGTAACTGGTCGGGTCCTGATTTCTCCTGGCTGTCAAGATAAAATTCAACTGAACCCCCTCCCCCGTTTCACACCTCAGCAGCTGTCCCTGGCTGGGGAGAGCAAGGTTTCACCTGGGACCACAGTCCCAGCTCCTGCTGCAGGGTGATGGGTAGCTGCCTCCTCCCTGCTGACAGCACTCAGAGAGGCATAGAATGCCCTGAATTGGAAGGGAGCCACACAGACTATAGAGTCCAATTCCTGGTCCTGCACAGGACAATCCCAGAAATCCCACGTGCCTGTGGGTGTCATCCTAAGGGAATTTGGACATTGTCCAAATGCTCCCGGAGGTCTGTCAGGCTTGGTGCTGTGACCATTCCCTGGGGATCCTGCTCCTGGTCACAACCACCCCTGGGGGAAGAACCTTTTCCTGATATCTTTATTTTAAAGAGCTGAGACCCTTAAAGCATTTTCTGGTCTCAGCTCCAAAGGCAGAGGCAGTGTAACCTGCCACAAACTCTTGAGGCTGTGCAAAAGCAAGCATTGTACAGCTCTGCTCCAAGTGCTGGTCGTGACCGCAGAGTCACCTCCTCAGCCAGGAGCCCAGCGATCTTGTTTCTGCTCATTAGCTCTGAAAGGTTTTTCCATCCATAATAAGAAAGTCATTAATGTTAAACTTCCACTGCCAGGTAGGATTGATTTGAAGATTACAACCACAATAAAAGGGGGATGCATTGCATATACAATGTGTTAAAGTCCTGGCATGCAGGAATTGTTGCTTCGATGGTTGCCTGTCATCTGTGGAGCTCACCAAAGCTCATCCATGGAGCTCAGACAGATGTCTGGAAAGGGTAGCAAGGAGTGGCTACTTTCAGAGGGAAAAGGTAAATTCAAATCAGTAGCATCCTCTGCAGAAGGGCTGTAATCCTGTCCCAGGAGATAATAGAATTGGTGACCTAACATGTCTCCATGCTCTTGTTGATCTGACATTTTATTAATATGGTGCACAGCCTAGAGATCCTCAGTGTTCCCAGATGGAAAATGGTCAGTGTGGGACTCTCTCTCTAAGGAGCTACCAAAACTGACTTATCTTCTCCTGAATGTGGCCCAGAAACCTGGGTGCTGTTGTGTGGTGTGTTCTGCTGATGTGCTCTGCCTCCCCTCCATGGCTGATGTGTCAGTGAATCAGCTGTCCATCCAGCCAGCCACTTCTTGTATGTAAAAGTTATTTTAGACATATATCATTCATCATATAAAATGCTTTTGACAATGAGCCGTACAGGTGTGCATTGCTCTTCTGAGTGGGAGATGGATGGATGGATGGATGGATGGATGGATGGATGGATGGATGGATGGATGGATGGATGGATGAACTTGGTGAGAAGAAAGAGGGATTTGGCTCAGCTCAGCACATCTAGCCTCAGCTCTGACTTTGTGATATTACAGGGCAGACCAAAGTGTGTGAGAAAGAAGTGAGCATGGGAAGGCAGATAAACAGTAATTTGCTATGAGTATGATCACTGAAGAGGATCAGTGGATTTGGTTTGTCCAAAGAAAAATGCAGAGAGAGAAAACAGAGAGAGAAAGAAGCAACCCATACACCATGTGTGCCATTCAAAAAGTGGTTAAAGGAGCAGAACCACAGCAAGATAAATTCATGAAGCCAGGAGAGTGCTGCAGGAACCTCATTATAAATATCATGTTAAGTTGTAGATCAAGAAATCCCCGACTTTCCATCTTTATCTCTTGTCCTTAAAAGCATTAGCAGCTGACTTGTCCTTCTGGCTACTCTCAGGTTTTTCTGAGATGTAGTTTCCCATTCCATGTGCTTCCCTCATCCAGGCTGGGTTTGCTGCATGGGAACACTGATGGAGTGTCCATGTCAGCCCCCCTATGGTTAAAACCAACCCTGTAAGCAAACCTTCATAATTTTATTTATGACTTTTGAATGAGATAATGGTTTTCCACTTTGAAAAGAAAGCTTGCTACTTCAACATTTATTTTCTATAAATGCCATGGCATTTATATTGCAACAGGAGACTATTCAGTGACATTATCTGATAAATATCGTGTTATACAGCTGCAATTTACAATGCATATATTTTTAACGGTGCTTCTAAGCTAAATTAAATGCTTCTAAAATATGGTACTTAAGGAAAACAAATGTCTGTTCTAGCAATTTTGTTTTTCAGGGTGCACTATTTTTTTAAAAGCAGATACTATCTTCATTCTGTCAGGCAGTAAATTATGCACTTGCACTTTCATAAACTCTCCCCTTGGGAACTTAGTCAATGAAATGGAAATGTCTTTTTCACACCCTCCAACTCCAGAGAAATACAGGGAAATAGCCAACTCGGTTATAAACGGAATGTCTAGAGGGAATCCATATAAAATGTGGATTAATGCAGTCCTGATGCATGTATTGTTTAGCACATGTACCATTCACTCAAATGGTGCATTGAGTTGTGACTGGGATCATTAATGTTTCCCTACTTTTTTCTGAACTGGGAGAGTAATTGCATGTTCTGTGGTGGGATCTGCAGGTATAAAGACACTCACTGGCATTGGACTGTGAACCTCCCTCCCAAGCCAGCAGACCTGCAGGAGGAGGAAGGCTCTGCTGGCCTGCTCAAGGCATAAAGCAGGACAGCATTTACACCTCGGTTGGTCTTTCCTGTGCTGTGGGGTGGGACTGGGCAGGACAAGGGCTTGCAATGGCGTATCCTGCCCATGGGATAGCCTCTCACGAGGGAGAGCAGAGCTCCTGAGGCAGCTGAATTCGATGTTCCTTGTAGGTCCCTTCCAACTGAATTATTTAAATCTACTTCTATTTTCACCATCCATCACCCAGAACCACAGAGTTTTGCCTGTAGCAGTCGAATGTCTTCATACGCAGCCCTGTGTGGTCCACGGAGTTGTGCTATCCCCCCACCACATCACGTGTGGAAAGTGTGAAAAGCCAGCAAAAAGGCAGCAAAGGAAAGGAAGCCAGGAAGGGATTTGCAGGGGAGTCTGCTGAGATGCCCAAGGATCCCTCAGAAGCAGGAGGAGGAGCTACAGCATCTCTCCTGTCCCAGGAAGGGCACTGAAGCTGTTCACCTGATTACTGATGGTCCTCATTTTCCCCAATCTACCTTTGAGAGCCCTCTAAAAGCCCCAACTCTTCCACTCTGGGGAATGCATTAAATGTGAGATGTATTAAATGCATTTGGCAATGGCAGCAAACTTAGAGAAAACAGGAAAATCAACAGCAACAACAACAAAAAAGGAATCTTGAAATTTGGCAGAAAAAATTGCAGTGCAAACCCCACAAGAACGTGAGTATCTTTGCACAAAGCCACTTATGGATGCATTCCTTAAAGGTAATCCCTTCAGACAGTATGAGGCTGCCATTTCTTTGAAATATATTAAAGCAGCTGTTGCTAGAACACAGAGAATTACTGAGCTATCTGTCAAGGGATGGACATTTGTAATGCTATATCTTTTTTTTTTTTAATTTACAGTTTATTTTGATACCAAATTTCCAGCTACTGAAGGTAATTGAGACTGCAAACAAAATCTCACCATCCACTGATCTGCCAAATCAAATTTTTTCTCCTGTAAGTAGAGTGTTTTTCCTTAGCTTCAGAGAGGAAAAGAATTATGCAGAATGAATGAGAAAGAAAAGGGGTTAGTTTAGAAGGGGATTAGTTTATATAATGACCATAGCAGCCATCTCTCTGTTGATCTGTCGTAGTTCATTCTCGAAGATGCAAATTATTATCATTGTCATTTAGAACAGAGCTTGTTCATTTTCCTCCTGCTGCATCTGCTTACCACTCTCCAAATTAACACATATTTTAATAAAAACTAAATATCCTGACTATAGCCGGGATATGGATGACCCCAGCTGGGATATGGATGCAGCAAGATTCTTATAATCTTTGTGCTGTCCTCCTGGAATGACTGTGCACTGCCCTGGTCCTAGAAAGGAATTAGAGTAGCCATGAGGCTATTTTGATGACTTTTGGCTACCAGAGGCCTCAAAAGAGGGCATCTAAGGCATAAGTTAGTAGCTGTGTGTCTCCTGTGCTGTTTCAAGTTGTGTGGTCTTTCTGAGGACTCTCTAGGAACTCTCTGTCACTGGAGCAGCTCCCTGCTCCATGATGTCCTCCCACACCAGCACCGGGGCTGGGTGGGTGTCGCAGCAGGAATGGGCTAAGGGAGCTGAGCTTCCCTCGTGGCTTTTTCCCTAGCTAATGGCAGAAAACAGAATAGTTCTAAAGATCTTCAAAATTAATTTGGATTTTTGTTCTCTTTGGTGACTACTTGCACTCCCATGGACCAGTCCTATCCATCTGGTTTTCCTGTACTATGGTAATCAAATTTGATGCCAACATGGCAACTGGGCTTTCCTCCTTCTCTCTTCTGTTTGCACTGAGATTTTCACTGGTCCCAACTCTTACTGAGAGGTTTCTTTTCAATCAAAGTGTTGAAGAGTAACTATTTCATATGCTTGTTCTCCTGAAGTTGCTTTAACACTTTTGTAGCTCTAAGGTGAGCCAATTCACCCCTACAATTCAGGTATTCACCTCTAAAATTCAGGAATTCACACACCTAATCGCTCCAAGCAGGATGCTCCTCCAAGGTGGGAAAGCAGCCCTGAAGTGACAGCTCTCCAGCATTTTGGGGGACTCAGGGTAAGTGCTGGGATTTAACTCTGCAGAACTCATATAAAACTCACAGAGACTCTGTCTTTGACTTCAAAACATCTGTTAATTCTACTTGTGTGCTCATCACTGAAAGGCTGCCTGTATCTTTCCTTCCAGGTTTGTGAAAATAAGCACCGGTGAATGAAGATGAAAGAGAAATGTTGCTGGTTTCTTCCCTGGAGATCGTATTTCTTACTTGTTGCATAACTGCTTATTTTAGCATCAATCAGCCAAGTCTTTGTTGTGCAGACAATTCTGTCCTTTTAAAGGATTTGTGCAGTATTGTTTCTTCCAAAATGCTTTTTTTTTTTGTTTTTATTATTAGATTTATTTCCTCTCTTAGCAAATGCCAACTGACAACACCCTGCAACACCCTGTCGGAGCTCTTCATAAGTGTTACATAAATGTCATACTATGTAAACTGAGTGTTGTATATAACATATACATGACCTTTCTGGAGAACCATCCATCAGGTGCTGTTCTCCGTGTGTGTCACGTTTATGCATTTGTACACAAGCTGTGTTTAAGTGTGCATATATGGTAGCCAAAAATCTCTTAAGAGGAGTACTTGAAAAGCAGAAATGTCCAAACTCTTGTCAGTGCAACTTCATCTACACCCTTTTGTCGAAGCAGAACAAGACTTCAATTGCATGTCCAGATACTCTTTTCCTTCTGTGTGTGCAGTGAGATGGTCAGCGAGGGGCTCAGCAATGCCTATTGTTCAGCACATGAGCCTAGGCAGAGCACATTATTCAGCACATTATTCACATGTCCGACCACTTATGGATTTCACAGCAGTAGAAAATCCTGCTCCAATATTTCTCCGTGCAGTTTTCAAAGCAGAGCAAGGTGCTCATGTTTTGGATGGTGAAAATGTAGTGAGGTTGCAACCAGGCATGCTGTGGACCTGCCATGCCATGACCCTCTTTAGAGGTGTACTCCAGAAATCCTGGAGATATGGCCTAGAGGGTGGTAAGGCTGTAGCATGCTGTGCAGGACTAGAGCAGGGACCTGCAGGTTCCTCAAAAGACAGTATTATTAATTTCCTCATGGCTTTTTCTACAGCACTTTCCACTACACTGCCTCAGCACCTTCATTAATCCTCCTCAAGCACTCATTCTGAAGATGGGTCAGAGTGACACATGGATGGATTAAGGTCAGTTTTGACTAATTCAGGGTACTCCATCTGAAAAGCATAGCGTCTGCGTTTTCGGAGCATTTAACATGATACAGCACTTCATACGTGCAAGCACAGCACCCACTGCTTCCAGCTGCACAAAGATGGATGTCAGCAATTCAGGCTAAAGGCTTCCAGCCACGCACCACAGTGTGGGCAATGCAGCCATCAGCAGCCAAAAGTTTGGGTTAATGACTTGTAGTGTTACATAGCCTGTGGCAAGGGCACAGAAAGAATCTGAGTCTTTGGGAGAGTTTTATCCTTCTGTCACAGTCTGCCTGTGTCTTGCAGCCCGTGCATGGCTTCTTGGGCAGTCTTTGGTCAGGTAAGATGAGAATCTGGCCAAAATTTGTTTCCTTTCTGACTTACAGAGCAGATCCGTGCTGTGCAGGTGGCACAGGGAAATCAGATTGTGACACTGTAACTGAGAACTGCATTAGAGTAAGTGTGCACAAGAAAATCTCCAGAAATTGGTATGGAATGCCTCACTTTGGACATTTTTCATGTCCAGACCAGGTAACACAGTCACCTTCACAATATCCCTTAAGGCAGACTGTGCTGTAGATGAGGTGGGATCTGTAGGTGAAGTCCTGTCCAGATCTTAAAGACAGGGGCTGTGCTCATGAATCCCATTGCTCTTGTAATCCAAGGAAACACTTTTTAGTCAGTAGCTGATGTTCCTGTTTCCTGGGGGGCTGCTGAGAGGGCTCTGAGCACCTGAAGCAGCAGGTGCCCTAAGAGCAACATTTTGAGATATTTCAGCTGCCAGAACTGGGCATGTTTACTGCTATGTAGTGAACTGCTCTCCAAAACCCAGTAACATGACTAATTTGGGTGGATTTATCTAAAGGACCATAAAAGGCTGCTTCATGCCAAATTTCAAGACCCTGTTTTCAGTGTTAGTCCTAAGAACCACAGAAAGCTCAAGAATTACCAAAGCGATGCTCTTATCCTACTCTGCTGTCATCCTTGGAAGTGTGAAAGGACTTGGAACGTTTGGAAAATATCCAGCCCAGGCTGCCAAGGCAGAAAGTTGCAACCGAATTCATTCAAGTTTGGTAATTTATAAGAAGCCACAACAGGGATGTAAGCTGGGGAGCATCTGGCTATTGTAGCTCTGGTTCCTAATGGTTTATAATTGGTAATTCGCAGGTTTAGGGCTGACCAGCTTAATGAATCGAAAGGGATGATGGCAGATTGTCATTGAAAGACAGTCTTTAACTTGAATTTTAATCTTCTGCAGCAATGGTTTAAAACAGTGCAAGCCAACTTCTGCAGGGCCCCTGGGAGTTGGGGTAGATGTATGCTGCACATCCAATTATTATTATGATGATTTTAATTTAAGAAGCCGTTTCTATCCCAAAAGCACTGCTGTCGTTTTTAATCCTAAGGAAAACAGCTGGCAACAGGCAGCCCTGAACCACCCAGAGCCCGAAACACTCGTCTGGGGAGGGTCACTCCGTGCGGAGTTGCGCGGCAGCCGCGCCGCTCCGCACCTCTCCGCGGAAACTCTGGGAAGTTTTTTTGGGGAACACACATACAGACACACGCACGGGTCGGGGGGGGCTCTCCTGTTGCGGTCGCATCCCCAGCCCCGCCGTTCCTCGCCCCTCCGGACCGGCCGCTGTGCCGGCGCGGAGGCTCCGCGTCCCCCCCCGCGGTTCCCACGCCCCGCGGCCGCGGAACTTCGCTGCGCGGGTGCGGGAGGGAGGGAGCAGCTCCGCACCGCGGCCCCCGCCCCGCGATGGGCAAGAGCCGTCTTTTTGACGCAGGAGAAATGGCAAATTTTAAGTACGTCATTAATATGGCGCCAAAACCCTTTTTTTTTTTTTTTTTT